GAATTTTCTAGTTATTAAGCTGTAGGAACCTTAAACACTCACAAAACCACCACTTGCTCCTTGGATTAGTTCCATCAATAATTCTGAGAGATGGCTGAGGCATGGTTTTGGCAAGATGACTGATTGCTTTCTCTGCATCTAAAGTGTTTCGGGTTTTGTGGCGGCGGTTTTCTCATAATGATGCACCAGGGTTGCCAGTTCCCAAGGAGCATGGCCTCAAAAGCATGCCAGTGCTTCTCAAATTTTCAATTTTGAAAAGCAAGCAGAATGTTTCATGCCACCCTTGGGTATTACTTTCTGTGTTGAGATGATTGTAACCTTTTTTATTTGCTATCTGAGAGCATCTACTGTTTCTGTTTAGACACCCAGACAAAGATGTAGATGACCAAGAGGTGTTTTCCCCTTCTGGCTTGGGATCAAATCTCTCAGTCACAGGTGAAGTCTGCATGTGTTTATTTGCTGGGGTGAATAGAAGGCAGGGAAGGTTGCATTTCTCCTCTTGCCATTTCATTTGGAAGGGCTCTTCGCACAGATGGCGGAGGGCACTGCGGAATCTCAGTAACATCCCTGTGCCTGAATTAAACCGACCCAGTGCTCGAGAGCACTGGGCTTGGGGACAACGATAGCACGCTCAGCGGAGAGCTGGAGGGAATCAAGGCCACAGGTGGGCTCTCTGCGGGCAGGCTGCACGCATCTGTGATAGCAGAGACCACGAGGTGTTTGTGGTCGGGAACGCCGGGTGCGTGAAGGGATTGCTTTCTTGTTTTCGGAGGCTGATGCCACTGTTGTGACACATGCAACACCGCGCTGCGTGCGTCACAGTGGTGTGCGTAAATCAGGGGTGCCGAGGGGAGAGCTCACACCGCTTGTGTAGCATGAAATGGACTTTCAATAGAAGACAGAAGGGTGGTGGTTTTGTTGCTATGGGTTTTAAATGTCTGCCACGGTCAGGTCTGGTTAGTAGTCTGGATCAGCCCTTCTACATTTTCCCCTTTAAAAAAAAAAAAAAAGTATCAGATTTGAAGAACAAATCTGTTGCTAAATCAATCACTGGAAATAAAAGGATGTGAAAAGAAGAAGAAATTTTTAACACTGTCAAAGTATTGCTCAAAAACGTATTGTTTATTCATATGCTAACTATGCAGACTTGCTCAGGGATTCTCCCTACTTCCCTGTGTTGCTCTGTCAGTTTAGAGACAAGGCGATCATGTCCTCCAGCCAAATTTCTTCTATAACCTTGTAACATTAGCGAGCAATTAACAATAACTATAATTCATAATTACAGGGTATTTACTGTCCAAAAAGGTAGCAAGAGAACTTTCTCATTATATAACAATATACTAGAATGTATTATACATACTATACATAATGAGGATATATGTCATTTTCAAAAACTAGTGACTAAAAAGTTCCACAGTTGGTTGGCTTTTAAGGAGATCCAAATGGCTTGACTATCAAAAAGGTAACTCAGTAGGAAAATTAAAGCAAAACCAAGAACAATCCACTGGTACTTGGACTTGGTTGATAAAAATAGCTCGTAAACTATTTACACATACTCATGAAGCTCTTGCTATTCATTAAGTAACAGTGCATCTCCTTTTTTTTTTTTTTTTTTTTCCTTAAGACCAGGAGATTTATCTGAGAAAATGGATACATCTTCCCAAAAATACCCAGTCAAAAAGCGAGTGAAAATTCATCCCAACACAGTAACAGTGAAATATACCTCTCATTATCCCCAGCCAGGGGAAGAGGGATATGAGGATGTTAATGAAGATACTGGAGTGTTTATGGAGGATAATCCCAAGAAAAGACTACTGAATGATGGGAAAAAGCGAGAACGGACCTTTTTTGGTACAATAGACACCAAGCATCAGCCAGCACAACTGCCAAAACCTGATGAGATTGGGCAATCCCAGCATTTTCCTGAAGGAAATATACTGCAGTCGAGGAAAACGTGGGTAGTCCTTTTTGGATCTGCCATGGCTCATGGATGTGTGGCTCTAATTACAAGATTAATTTCTGATCGTTCCAAAGTGCCATCCCTAGAGTTAATTTTCATCCGTTCGGTCTTACAGGTGCTGTCCGTTACTGTTGTGTGTTATTATCATGAGCCTCCCTTTGGCCCCAAAGGCTACAGGCTCCGGCTCTTCTTTTATGGGGTCTGCAATGTCATCTCTATTACCTGTGCTTATACCTCCTTCTCTATCGTTCCCCCCAGCAATGGCACCATTATGTGGAGGGCTACCACTACAGTCTTCAGTGCCATTTTGGCCTTTTTACTCATAGATGAAGGAATGGCTTACATAGACATAATTACTGTAGTTGGCAGCGTGTTTGGCGTTTGCCTGGTCATGATCCCCAACATTGTTAAGGAAGAAAACTCTTTGTTGAGCACCTGGAAGGAAGCTTTTGGCTACACCATGACCGTCATGGCAGGTTTAACCACTGCTCTCTCCATGATAGTCTACAGGTCAATCAAAGATAACATCAGCATGTGGACGGCATTATTCACCTTTAGCTGGACGGGAACGGTATGGGGAGCGTCCACCATGTTCCTACTTCAAGAGCCAATTGTCCCACTGGATGGAGAGACCTGGAGCTATCTCCTTGCCATCTGCCTGTGCTCTACAGCAGCCTTCCTGGGGGTCTACTACGCCCTGAGCAAGTTCCACCCTGCTTTGGTCAGCACCGTACAGCACCTGGAAATAGTCATTGCCATGGTCCTGCAGCTGCTTGTGTTGCGCATCTTCCCAGGTACTTATGATCTTGTCGGGGGAGCGGTTATTTTGGTTAGTGTTTTTTTCCTTGCGTGTTATAAATTGTCCTGGAAGAATTTAGGAAGACAAGATTATCAGGAGATTGTGGATTCTTCCATTAAATGAACTGCGGTTTTGCCATCCAATTCTGACTATGTGACCACGTGAAAGTAACACATTTCAACTCTGTGGTGTTCTAGCATAGTGGCCAGGTCCTCCACTGTTTAAATTCACAGGTGATGTAGCAATGTTAGTATTTCCAGACTTCCCTGACAGGTGAATTTGTTCTAGTGCGTACAACCGCTGCCATTTTGTCGTATGAGAAAAGGCTATTTGTCTCCAGCACGTAGCGGGGGTGTGTAGAAGTGCAGGCCAAGTCATGGGCATGTTCTTCCTCACCTTCCCTGAGTAAGGCAGTACAGAGACAGAGGGATTCACCAGTGACTCTCATTCCTGTGCAGTGTGGTAGTAGGAAAATGAGCAGTAAAACTATTAAAATGGTCGACCAGAATGTTCTTATCCTCTGTGACGCTTGTTAGGCTTTGGCTGTGATACTCTAAATGAAGTAATGCTAATATTTCTGTGGTTAAAACTTGCGCTTCCCGTGTGTATAAAGAATAAGTCAGTAAAGCTTTTTGTGCTTTGTGGTTAAATTTCTGCCTGAGTTGATGCAGGATAGCCCAGACCTCCTGTGGGGGAAAGAGCACCCCAAAAACTGGATCTCCAGTTGTGGCACAGCTGTGAAAGAAAGGTCCCCGAGAACTGTAAGGTCCATGATAGATAAAAGATCTGCCCCTGAAGCAGAGCAATATTCTTTCTATGGAATCACTTTTTCTAAAACAGGTTTTGACTATTATGCAAGGGAGAAAAAAAAAAGGAAAGACTGCATTTGAGGTTGAGCTGTCAGCAGCAGCAGTAATGCTGAACAGCCTGACAGGCATCCAGTGACTTTAAGTCAGTGTGCTTGGGTCCTAACACTTCAGGTAGAAATTAGATTTATAAAAAGCCCTGGGGTTTTATGGTTCCAAACAGTATTTCTGGCCGTGCTAATGTATGGCTAGTTAAGAGAAAGGCCAGGGCTCCGTGCCACCCAGGACCGGCAAGCACTTCCCCACAGACTGTGCCTCTGTTCTGGGACATGAGCATTTTCTGAGGGAAAAGACATTGCTCAGGTGACCCCAACCAGTCCAGCTTCCCCCATGGAAAACACATTTTACTTGGGAAAAAGCCACAGCAGCAGCAATAGCTTTTATTCCTATGAATACCCAGGGAGACCAGGTTCCCCGACATCAGTCAGCCCAGCCGCAATGCTCCTAATCCATGTGACACTTGTGTCCTGAGTGATGGGAGTGACCACCTGAGCCACGCGGGAGAGACAGGTTTCCTTGGGTGCTGGCACGGTTACGGCTGCCCCAACAACTGTTTCCTTTGGGAACACACGGAGCTGGCAACAGGAGCTCTGCCCACTGTAGGAAGGACAGGAGGAAAGGAGCAGGTAACGCAGCGCAGTGCCCGACACCCTCCCAGCCAAAAAACCCTTCGGTAGCTTAGGGCCCTGGCAGAGGCAGCGAAGTTCCCAGCCCAGCATCTTGCTGTACTTCTATCAACTCATTTCCCTCTGGGGCAGATGGCCTTTCCTCCTCTGAGTGGTAAGACAGCGGGAAAGCTTCCTTTGTGGAAAGCAACCAGGGCAAAAGGCTCCATCTCCTATGGCTTCCACGCCTGTTACGCTCTGGAAGGAGTCAAGCTTTGAGACTCCGTCATGCCAACGTGCACACAGCCAGCTGGGCGCAAGGAGCAAGCAAGGAGCAACCGACAGCGAGACTCCCCAGGTGCCTGAACCGTGCAGCAGGGATGAGAGAGTCCCGAGCAAGCTCTGGATGAGCTGCCCCAGCCCCAAAGCAGCAAAGCCCCCTCCTAAGCACAGCTCCCTGCTGCCTCCAGCACCTGCAGTAGCGTCTCTGCTGAAGCCACACGTGCTGCAGAGCCGTGCCAGCCCTGCTGTGATCCCTCTGAGCACAAGCTGATACAGCTAAGCAGACCTGAGAGCACTGCTGCTGAAATGGGTGATCCCACTTCTTTCTACCACCAGCCTCCGCTTCCCTAACATCTGATCCACGATCGCAAACTGCAGGCTGGGTCAGTTCAACTTCGGGAGCAGGTGCAAAACTAATCCTGCCAAAACCTGAGCCCAAACTGACATGGGCAGCCAGCACCCAGGGCCCCAGCAGGGCACAATCCCATCCTGAGAACCTGGGTGACGGCTGGGGAGCGATTCCTGGGGGCTACGGGGCTTCGTCCTGGTCCAGCTGCGCCACAGCCTGCACAAGGTCCTGCACAACCAGGTCTACGTCTGCCCGGGTGGTGTCTCGCCCCACGCTCAGCCGCAAGGCGTTCTGTGCCACGGCGTAGGGGATCCCGCTGCTGAGCAGAATCGAGGAGGGCCTGAAACGCAGACACGGGGGGGGAAGCAGGTTTAACTCAAAGGCTGAGGAAGCACATGCATCACCAGGAAGCTTCACCAAGCTGTAAGAGGGAGCACCTCTGCAGATGCACTCCAGGCACACCTGTCTCCTGCACAGCGCCCTGCTCACTTTCCAAAGGCACCTGTTCCCATTTGGCTCGTTGCCTTATAGTGGATCTGGCTCTTCCCCTCCAAGGAAGAACCTCTGCCGTGTCCCCATGGGTTGGCAGCCCTGCCATGTCTACGGGGCATTGCTCTAGACCAGGCCAAAAGCACCTGCTGTCCCCACACACCCCCAAAGGAGCCCAGTGGAGACACAAATTGGGCTCGAGCGGGTGAGCCAGGCACACACGGACATAAGGCAAACTCTTTTCTGGCGGTGCCAGGCACTGAAGCGTACTCGCAAGCCCAGCTGGGTCACCAAAGCCAGGAGGGACAAAGCCCTTCCAAGCAGCAGCAGTCAAGCGTTCCAGCTGTGTCTCCTGCAATAACCTCCTTCGCATCCCTTCAGCCCCGCTGGAAAGCTCTGCACCTGCTTTGCTCCAGGCGACGCTGCCCACAGCCACCCACGGTCCCTTTTCCTGTCCTATTTCCCTCCCTCCCATCCGCTCTCCTCAGAGAAGACACCCTGGGCCTGGCAAAGCCGGCTGCTTACCGATCCCCTTTCTCCGAGTGGCAGGCAGCCCCAACGCTGGCCAGAAGCGTCTTGCAGCGAGACAACACCCTTCGCCCTGCAGCACGCACAAGCGGAGGTCTCCCAGCACCCAAGCTCCCTCCAAGGACAGGTGCTGGGCTCCGTGGGCACCATCACGGGGCAGTGGTGGGGTAAGAGCTACCTTGAAGGCCTGGGCCCAGGATGGAGAAGTTAGAGGTGTTGCAGAGTCGCTTGGAACCCGTAAAGTGGCTGTTGAGGTGGATCCTCTGCTTCCCAAAGGAGGCCTGGAGAAATCAGAGGGCTGAAAACCACTCTAGGTTTGTGAGCAGCTCTGTCCTGCTGAGGAGGTGGCAGGGCCAGAGGGACAGACCCACCCCGGCTCCAGGCCCCGCACTGTGCAGGCTGAGACCCCCGGGAGGGGGGAGACCAACAGGAACCAGGTCTGCTCACCTCCAGCCTGGCCTCCAGGTAATCCCGAACACCCCGCATATGAGCCTCGTAGGCCTCCCAGTTCTTGCTCACTAACTCTGCAGCCTGAGGAGAGAAAACCCAGACAGGTTCCATCAGCAA